GTGAGGCTAGTTGTCTGACAGAGAGGTCACCAGCCAACCAATTAAGGGAGGTCACCCTCCTCAGGCGACTGAGTGGATGGGAGAGGAAGGTGTGAAGTAATTACAATTGGACACAAATTGGCTCACCCACGAGACCCGATGTCGAGGTAATTTTCATTCATCTAGTCGGAATAATCGTTTCATGGAATATTTGTTGTTATAGTGCTGCTGTCATCCTGGGAAATAGCTAACAGGCATGGCTGGCAAAGCAGTGGGAACTAGGGGGTAACTTTATGTCTGCTACCCTCCTAGATGCTATCTAGACTTATTGCAAATCATTCCCATTCCTTGCTCAGACTAATCAATTGATTTGATTCAGATTGTATGTCCCCCTAACCGTTGTAACTCGATTATCGACGAGATTACTAGCATATGGCTGCTGTCACATATATAAACACGGATCAGCTGCAGGTCGCTTTGCCTTCTCGATTTCAAACAAATCCGCGTCAACAGATCAGATGTGTATGGTTGGGTAACCCGCTACTGAAGGGTGTAGTTCCAAGCGGAATACCAGGTCAAAAGGAAAATGAGAGAGATAAAACGAATGAAGCCAAAAGGAGTTAAGAGCATGAATGTCATTTACGCTGATTAGCACGGTAGGTTGCGGTCTGAGCTGTATCTTCCTTTTTCGCCAAGCGAGTTGTAACATGGTATTACAAGAAGATGGATTCCAACTTTATCTTTTGGATCTAGGGACTCCAGGAAGCTGCTGTTAAGGTGATAGATAGGAAGAGGAATAGCACATGATATGATCTCTACAAAAGTACTCTTTAAGATGGAGCTGAAATCTGCTTGTTTTGTTTGGCGAGTTAATATTTCTCGGAGGTTTTCAAACGACAGCTAGGTCATTTGACTTCCCCAATCTGCAAAGAAAGAACGCCCGGTGAACCCCCAACCAAGTTAATCGATCGCAAAGTCTACATTTTTCCGCCATTCTCCATTGAATCTTGCGAGAAAAGCTCTCAACCGAAGCTAGTATCTGAGCTGATTGTTTAAAGGCACAGTTCACGAGAAAAAAAGGCTTATGAGATTTTCCATAGGATAAACCGCTATCAGGTTGAAAAACAGCTTGGTTAGGACGTGTAAAGGCTCAAAGATTGTCCCGTGTGTATGCGCGGACGAGTTTCACTGTCATTGTAGAGGCTGCACTACTTACAGAGGAACCAATGTAGGAAGTTCAAACAACTTGTCATGACCCATAGCGTCAGGGAAAGGCAATTCCAGAGTGTAGTCAGCTCTTCGTTCAATTGCAGCAACAGAAATCTCGTCCAAATACCCCTGCCATCTCACTTTCGGCATGCTATCACGTACAACCTCTATTTTCACTATTTTACTTATTTATTTTAATGGGGCCTTTTTCGCAAATTCCGCGGATTTTCTTGCTTCCTCACCACCAATGCACTGTTCCGGTGAAAATGTAGTTGGGGGGTGCCAGCGCCTTTCCGTCTCGTTGCTCTGCGTTTCTGACCCAGGTGGCAGGGTACCCAGTGACCGCACTGGAGCGCGGATATGGCCTCTTAATAGTGGTAGGGAATCTATTTTTCGACAAGGGGAGGAGCTCCGGGGTGGGTGAAAAGTAAACGTAGTGCAAGGACAAGAGAAAGCTGTGATAAAGTAGAAAAGAGTTGAGGAGTGTGACTGCGCTAAGTAGATTGCGCACCGTGGACGCACCACACGCGTCGAGTAAAGTTGTTATTGAAGAGCTGTTCTGAAACATTTCAGCTTTTTGCACAACGTTTACTTTTCACCCACCCCGGGACCCCTCCCCTTGTTAAAGAATACATTCCCTATCACTATTAAGAGGCCATATCCGCGCTCTGGGTACTCTGCCGCCTAGGTCAGAGACGCAGAGCAACTAGACGGAAGGGCGCTGGCACCCCCCAACTACATTTTCACCCACTGTTCCTAACCGATATGTACCTCCACTTTTCTACTTAAGAAGGGTACCTCAAAAGTTTAGTTAGTTTGCCTTAAAAACAGTCCCCTTGATTAACTGGATGGGTAGAAGCCCTATCGCCTTGTCGGCAGTTTTCATTAACGCAAGGCCATTGGTGAGCTCGTTCTCCCTAGGTGCATTTCCTTTTATGGATGATAAATCTTCCGCGAGGATTCTCAATGGTCTCGTTCTTACCCTCATTGTGTCTACTGTCAGTCTGCAATATAATTATCTAGGGAACATGAGCAAAAGGCCAAAGGGTTTCAAAAGGCCCCTAATAAGCGATCAATCATTTTAATCATAACTTAAGATTGTTCAAAGGGTGGCAAGTTATGTGCAAGATTTCGGTCTAGGGTGGGACTCGAACTTGTGTTCTGCACTCCCCGGGCATTGTATCTTTGTCCCTGATATTACCAAGGTCGCAGTTTGAGTTCTATGTCAATGCTGATATCATCGGCTTATGAGGTCTGATAAGCTATGGCTGACCACCCTCTGTGGGAGGCGAGCTCTGTCTGGTAATATTGGGGATGAACAGCATGATGGGAGCGCAAGAATGGTGGGCTATGGGCTCCACTACGATCTCGGGCCCGACTTGAGAGCGCGGGTGGGCTAAGGTCGTGGAAACGAGTCCCGCCCGAGGTCGAAATGGGGTCCGTATCCCACCATCCTTGCGAAACTTTCGGATCACGTGGTTAACAAGATTAACAAGTCAAAACAAGTTATATCCCAGGGCAGTCCAAAGTC